GAAGAACCGATTGTCGGCGAAAGACTTCGACTAAACTTTTTGCCCGTATATACCATAGACAGCGATGTCTTTCCTACACCTATTGGTCACATAAGAGATAAATGAGTGAACATTTGGTGAGACATGTTCAGGGATGAGTTGATGCCAACCCTGAGGGCCCAACACAACCACTTTCACTTCAATCCGTTTCTCCATTTCTCAGACAATTGTCGCGAAAATCAAATCTAATGACAAAACAAAACAAAATTAAAGCACAGATTTATAGATTGATGAGACATACAGTGAGTGACCACTCAATGGTAACTAACAGATAATATCAATACATGGATCATATGATGTGATGTTTTACAATTTACTGTTATGTCCTTTTGTGTTCACTGTTAATCAATGGATTATAGTGTTGGTGACAGAGATTAGATAAGATAGCAATGAATGCAGTAAAGGGTTGACTTAAATGGCAAAATATTAGTGAACTAATTGTGCAGTCTAACAGTTGCACAAATTGCAATTAACAGTCAATTGTTGACTAAACACAATGTCATGCAATAGTGTATGCACTCAACACAAGCACTCAATTGAACTCTTGAACAGTACTGAAGTCTGTATTCCTGTACTGCTGTAAGAATATCCTATTCTAACTGTACTTTACCCTACTTTACACAATCACCTCAACATTCCCATACAGTTATGCAACCTTTGGTGAAACTTTTATTTGAAATATGAGTATTTCGTGTTAAGTGAATGAGAGAATAATTTGCTAATACAGTAATAATAGTGTGAATGAGAATTAGAAAATGTCAATTGTTATATTTCATACACTTATACAAAATTCATTGATCTCTTGCAAAAATATTCTTAACATTGAGTGACAGTATGCCATCAATTCTTACATTCAATGTTCACTTCATATGATATAATGTCAATCATAGAAATGGTCACCAATTACTGTCCAATCATTTTGTAACCATATCTCTATACAATCTTAGAATATCATCTAAAATTGAACCTAATCCAGTACAGTATGTAATGTGAAATGATCATGATACAAAATGATTGCAAACGGTTGCGGTTGAGTGTCGTTGACGTGATTGATGTGAGAATTGCCATTGAATTCATTGTTATCCGTAAACACTGCACATTTGGTCTCTGGTGTGACAGTTGACCACCAATTCATCAATTGATTGCATCCCAAGACATACGACTCCATTGCAAGCCATGGCAGACAAGTGTGACGAGAATCTGATCAACTTGCGGTCTCTCAAGCAAATGGATCCAACCATCGACCAGATTGTCATGACATGCGGTCAGTGCGCGGTCTATAAGTTCAGCAACACATCCAATGAATGGGAGCGCAAAGAGATCGAGGGATCCATGTTTGTGGTGCACAGACACGACCACAACCACCACAACCACCACAACCACTCTCTCAGACACAACAACTTCGGCTTCGTTGTCATCAACCGACTCAACACCACTAATATGTTTCAGTCCATTGACGCCAACTTCGAGATCAATGTCAACATTCCGTACCTCTTATACAAGAACTCGTTGAACGAGATCTTCTGCATCTGGTTTTACGACGAGAAGGACTGCAAACGATTCAGTCATGAGCTCCAGAACATCATCGACCGGTTGGCTCAAGAGGGCAACCACTCGACCCATTCGAGTCAATCACATCCCAATCCCAATCCCAATCCCAATCCCAACCCCAACCCCAACCCCAACGACATTATGAAGAAATTGATGTCTTTTGATATAAATAGCGATATTAAGAGTCACTCGAATGGTCAGAATCTACCGCAAAGTCAACCGAAAGCACATCCAAACCAAAGCCAATCGACTCCACAGTCGGCGCCCATTCGTCAGAAGTTGAGTCTTCAGATGTTGTTCGACGCGTCGGTCATGGCATCGATGCCTCCCTCCGCGGCCACCGAAGCCGTCATTCATCAGAACCTCGAGGACCCACTCAATGACGTGATAACGCCCGCGATGTTAACCAATCAGAGCTCCAAATCCAATCCAAAGGAGACACTACCGGTTCATCAAAGCCAGAGTCCAGTGGTGTTCAATCAGTTGCCGTTACCGGTGGCCTCCGCTTATAATCACAACTATATGCCAGTTATGGTCAACAAAGACAAGATTGGATCAGTCGGTGTCCTATCGATGGAACAGTTGAAGCAAACGTTAATACATTTACTTCAGACGGACGCAGACTTTTTGCATTCAATACACAGCGCTTACGTGAATGCGGTTCACAAATAAGATACTATTACTTGACTATTAAAGGTCTTTAATTGAGTACATTATTCATATTTAATAAGCATTTATGACATATTAAAACATTTAACTCCTCATAGTTAGAGACAAACTTTCATTAAACCAAACTTTATCTTCAAATTGTATGAAAACTTCCATAAGATTTAGCATTGATTTCAATTCTGTACATTACTGTACACTCAACTCTACAGTGTTGTAACGTTAAAACATTAAACTCTATAATCATTTGCATCTATATTTGTCATTGTTGTTGATATTCTCCAAAATTTACTAATAAATAAAAAGCGTTGCAAAATCTCCTATAATGACAATCAATTTATTTATTTATGGATAATTTATTAGAGAATGATTCCACGATTTGGTAGAAATGGTGATCAAAACAATGTTGAAATAAAGTAACGATTTAAAGAAATTAAAGTAACATTTATTATAATAATATTCAATACAATACAGTAATCGTGTTAATCGTCGATATCGAGCAAAGAGTTTATATTTGAGTTCTTTTACTCACAAATAAGATACTATTACTTGACTATTAAAGGTCTTTAATTGAGTACATTATTCATATTTAATAAGCATTTATGACATATTAAAACATTTAACTCCTCATAGTTAGAGACAAACTTTCATTAAACTAAACTTTATCTCCAAATTGTATGAAAACTTCCATAAGATTTAGCATTGATTTCAATTCTGTACAGTGCTGTACACTCAACTCTACAGTATTGTAACGTTAAAACATTAAACTCTATAATCATTTGCATCTATATTTGTCATTGTTGTTATTCTCCAAAATTTACTAATAAATAAAAAGTGTTGCAAAATCTCCTATAATGACAATCAATTTATTTATTTATGGATAATTTATTAGAGAATGATTCCACGATTTGGTAGAAATGGTGATCAAAGCAATGTTGAAATAAAGTAACGATTTAAAGAAATTAAAGTAACATTTATTATAATAATATTCAATACAATACAGTAATCGTGTTAATCGTCGATATCGAGCAAAGAGTTTATATTTGAGTTCTTTTACAACTNCAATGTTGAAATAAAGTAACGATTTAAAGAAATTAAAGTAACATTTATTATAATAATATTCAATACAATACAGTAATCGTGTTAATCGTCGATATCGAGCAAAGAGTTTATATTTGAGTTCTTTTACAACTATTAGATATAATTTCAAAGGTTTAAAGATTATTATTAATAATGAATCCCAAGAGTTGGATAACACTTTGATTTGAAAGATCGAAAGCGCTGACCAAACGCTCAAATAATGATTAATAAGAAAAATAAGGATAAGTAATAAGTAGAGAAAGATATTGATTTGATAATTAAATATAAATTTAAACAATACATTAAAAACACAACTCAAATAAAATCTAAATTAAAAAATTATAGACAAATGAGACGTCGATTAGAATGACTTCATGGGAAGGGTAGAATAACCATAGTTTAACCGGAGATACTGTACGCCATATACAACATGTCTTCAGAGGTGTCCTCCGGAGCCATACTGTGGTTCGGCGCCAACACCGAGAACCCAATGAAACTGAATAAACGCATCAATGAATCTGAAAGGTATAGAAAATATTGAGAAAACTAATTGAGAGGAAAGGTATGCAATGGTCTCACTTCTGTCACTTCTGTTTTTGTCGAAGTAGACGGTCACGCGTTCACATTGGAGTTCATCCTCAGCCATCTCCAGTAAACTAATGAACGCCTCCTTTGAGTTATCCAACGATATTCCGTTCGGAATATTAATTAACAGGTTTTCCTTCCATATGATAGCCTCCCACTCGACGTCGTGTCCTTCCAAGAGTTGTATGTTTAATGTGAGTCTTATGGCGTGTTGTCGGGATTGTTTGGTGAGTTCCCCGACCGAAGGGGGGGCTCTGTATTTGCCCAAAACATTGCTCTCTGACAGCGATATCGACGAAACACGATTGGTATTAATGATCGGACTTTGGGGGACATCAGGAGCACCACTGAGGCCCCGAACCCAACGAAATACAATAGTGACGCAGAGGTCCCATACTATCACCACAGCAATGAAGACAATTTAATCATCAATTCATTTCATTGTCATTACATTCAATTGTGTTATCTATGTCTTAAATGAAGTGCATTATGGCACAGGTAGTGGTATTGAGTGCTTTCAGTATAATACTAATTGCGTTTATAGATAATTATAGACTAATTCACAGTCAAATCTGCTCTTAAAATAAATTCAAACAAAAAATGAATTTTTCATTTCGTCAAAAGAAATTACATTTATTTTTGGATTCATTACCTAAATGTCATACAATTTGTATTATATTCACGTAATCTAAAGCATTGGAGAATATTCTGCATAATAATTGGCTATTGTTTTCAAAATTATGCAATCGTTAGAAAAATAGATATGAAAGGTCTCGAGTTTTATATTTATAAAATATTCAAAATAAATTATTACCAAATTATAATAATCTAAACTTAATAGTATTTAATTCTAGTGCAATGCAATGTGATGAATGTTTTTGTATGTTTTTAGTTATCATTTAAAATAAATAGCTTTATAAGTATTAGACTATTAATATAATTATTGCTAAAGTATTAGCTAACGCACAACTGAGCGTAATATATCATAACTTATATTCCATAAGTTTGGACAGTAATGGCAATAATGGTTGAGTGCATATAATTTATGGCTTATATGCCTTCAAAATAGTAAATATAATACAATGTCTATAGAATTCAAGGCTAAACACACTATCGATGAAAAGGGCACAGAATTCATGTCCGATGAGAAGAATTGACTGAATTATAAAATACTTAATTAAACGTATATTAAATTGAATGATAGCCAAAGTGGGATTCATGAGAGGGATTTGGATGTAAAATAGATGAAACACTTGGATAGTGTTTGCGCAACTCCCGACTTCTGTACAGTATACTGAACTCTAATTTTAATCTATATTCACATCACGTATACTTTATGCTATTTAGCGAATATTGAGACAAAACTTCCGAAAAAGTTACAATTACAACAAAGATTAAAAGAAAAACATAGCTATGTAATCAGAAAATAACCACTAATTAAAAGCATCTATAATTACAAAATATAATTCAATCGACAAACAAAAGATATGTTATCAAAACAATTGAGTGATAAATAAGTATTTGCCAATAAAAACCTTTCAGAGAACTATTAGCTTGATAAACATTTGTCATAAAAAGTCAATAATAAGATAAAAGGTATTAATTAGACGTCAAATTACCTCAATAACTAATAATTCAAAATTTAATTATAATTATAATTGATATCATTATCTAAATTTAAGAAATAATTACTGAAAACAGATTATGACTTTAGGTCTTTACAAAGTTTATTGATTTTGTTGCTAACAATCTGTAGACAAATATGAAAACCTCTTCTCAAAAAATATCGTTTCAATTGTTTTGTTTTTCTTCAAAATATATCTCACGATAAGTCCATTGATTTTTATTTCAATGCAAACATTGAGACCGTTA